TCCCTGCATTACAAGGGCGTCGTCCTTCTCGGGAAGCTACATGTGGATTGGGATAGTATGAAGTTGATGAGGTGCGAGCTCCGCTGCTCACTTAGTCCTTTGATCTCTAAACGATTGGGGAGATGGGTTGCTCTTTCTGGCTAGACAGATGGCGCCAAGTTCAAGCTGAGAAGGCCCGCAGCCCTGCTAAGCCGTAGCCTGGCTGCGGTCCCCGGGAGTGAGGGCTTAGCCTCGGGGATAGGGACTTCTTGATATCACGCCCCAATGGCTTTTCCCATGGAGGCCGGTCTCTGCAGCTCCCTTGATGAGCAGTGCTCGACGGCGGGGCTGCCAGGCCCTGCCTGAGTTTCGTTATCCCTCATCCCGGCCCCGTTGGTGTTGGACCGGGCCGTCTCGGGGCTGGTTTCGGGCATCTGTGCAATGTGAGACCCAGTAATCGAAAAAGGAATGGTAAAACCGCGCCGTCACAGACCCGGACGATGTCTTTAAACGCCTGTTTGCGGGGCTGAGCCTGCCCGTGCCCTGCCCTCCAGGGGAGAGGGACAGGTTTGCACTTCAAGGGGGTCTCCAGGGCCCCGCAGACACGCTGGAGCCAGGGGCTGTAGACATTTGCCAGACGTGTGAACTTTCCTTCTCGCTGGTAGCTGTTATCTGTGCTCGATTCCCACTTTGATGTGTGTTCACACTTAGAACTACCCCGCCCGGGACCGGAGCGCCCATATAAGAGCGGGCCGAGTCTTACGGTGCTCCAACCCATCTCAGCCATGAACCAGGCCCAAATTCCTTCGGCAGAGACCAAGCCCCACGGGGTCAGGCCCCACATCTGCTGTGTGCCCCCTCCCCGCGCCCCCACCTCGCTGAGCAGCACGCCCCTCCTGGTCAGAGCCAAGCCCCGACGAGGCGGCCCGCAGCCGAGCCAGCCCGCGGACAGCGAGCCCTGCCCGGCGGAGCGGATCCCAGACGATCCTGCAGAGACCACCGACTCGGACCCGTCGCAGTCAGGTGAGTAAAGAGGGAACTGAAATGGGGGGGGGGGGGGGGGGGGGGGGGGGGGCGTGCCGGGGACACACACGGGACCTCGACCCCTGTTGGTGCAACGGCCTGTGAGGGCCGAGGGGAGGCGGAGGCACTTCCCAGGCCGGGAAAGAGGCCTCACTACTGCGCCTTCCCTCCTCCTGTGCAGCCCCCGACAGCGGCTGGTTGAGCGCCGACGAGTCCTCCGGCTACGAGAGCGAGAGCGCGGAGCGCTCCGCGGCGGCGGGCGGGACCCGCGGGCGGCAGCGGCGGGCGCGGACCGCCTTCACCTCAGAGCAGGTCTGCCGGCTGGAGAAGACCTTCCAGCGTCAGAAGTACCTGGGGGCCACGGAGCGGAGGAAGCTGGCGGCTGCCTTGCAGCTCTCGGAGATCCAGGTGAGTCCCGCAGGAAGAGGATCCTTCCCGACCCCGTCGGGCAGGAGTAGGCCGGGTCGGCCGTTTCGCTTTCGTGCTCTCTGCGATAAAGAGACGATGAAGAGCGGTCTTCAGCTGAATTTAGCAGGGGCTGTGGGATTCCTCGGGGATTAACAAGTTACACTCCAGGAAATTTGAGGCACTTTCTACCGGGAAGGCATTAAGGTTTCTTAATTTCTTAGTAAGGTAAACTGCCTAAGCGATCCGCCTAGACCTTGCAGAGGTCATATATGATCTTTAAGATTCTAAGTGATTAATCTAATATCGCTGCTAAACACAGACACACTTCCCCTCTACATCCCGTAGGTCCTCAGCCGTCGGTTAAGTAGGGCAAGAGAATTAGTCCAATTCTTGTCAACTCCAGCTGAAGCAAAATGGCAAAAGCAGCTGAGATACAGTTGTTCATAATTTGCATGTTATTTATTAAGCAAAGAACCTGATTTGTTTTCTCCATCCCCTCACCCCGTTCTTTTTGTTTCTCAGATCAAGACCTGGTTTCAGAACCGGAGGATGAAACTGAAGAGGCAGATACAGGACCACCAGCACAGCCTCGTGTCTCCTGTTCCACTCTACAGCTACCCCAAGGGGGCCTCACCAGCAATGTTTCAGGATGGTATCCACTACCCCTTTGCTCCCCAGCACCAGAGACTCCTGCCTTTTACCCCGGCGCCTGCTGTGCCGTTCAGCTTCTCCTTTCCCAGATATGATGCATCGCAAAGCACCTACCACTTCATAGGAAATGAGCTACCCTACTATCATCAACACTTTCTTCCTCATCCCTCTTTCCATCCAGTCATTCAGAACAAAATGGACAGTCAGTGCCACCTTGTATATGCATTATAGTGAAAAAGAAAAGGGACGGGCAGCAGAGGGGAAAAGCGTTATATGCTGTAATGTATTTTGTGCTCAGAATCCCTAGTCTGATTTGGAAGAATATGTCTTTATTATTTTAAGTTAAATGTGAAAACGAATAATTTTATATTTTATAATTAATATTAAAATTTATTTGATGTATTGCCACTTCTACTTTTTTGTTTTATAGTTTATTAATTTTTAAAAACCTGGTAGTCTACTCTCCAGTCAATAAACAGTATACTGAAAGGAACCTGCTGAAGTGAAACTGGAGAGAGAAATGTAGTACTAGAAACATGCTTTTGCTGAATTTCCCATGGTGTAGAGCAACGTTATTTAGTCTGAAGTGTGTTAAGTAACTGGTTTTCATTGCACATCCCCAGTTTTCCATAAATATATATTTATAAATAAAATCTGAATAGTTACATGTCAACTACATAAAGGTTTCACTTGGGCGATGTAAACAGCAATGGTCACTTGTCCTCCTGTTTTTGGGAATGGATTTAGATGTTTTAATACATTTTATCTGACTTTCCTACACTCCCACTGAGATACAGTCTGTTGTTAAGCATGTTTGGTAGCCTGGACAGAGGCAACTGTACCCAGTTGCATTACACTGTGCTTTTGGCTAAGTGCATCCTCCAGGAGGAAGGATAAGCTGTTGGTGAGTTTCTCTTTGAATATAAATCAATTATTGCTTTACAATTCCAATTTCATCTTCCATGTGAAGCCAGCAGCTGTGTTAATCACCAATATTAAGTCAGTGTGTCTTTGAACAGGAATTAAACAGATCAGTTCTTCCCTATGGGATTTTAAAGTTTTACAATTGCCAAAACAAATACTTGGCAAAAAATACTAAGATGTAATTGTGTTCAGTTCAAAGCCTTATCATCTGAACGGGATTTTAACCTGCAAATTTGGCCTTTTGTCTCACCACTAAATATCAATTCTAATTGCATATTTTAAACATTTTTTAGTAAATTGAGTTACTCCCTTTAGATGTGTAAAGGGTTCAAATTTTTATTTTAGCAATCTTGAAATTTGTTCTTCCTGGGATCAGTTTTCACTACTCTCCTGAAAGTCCTCAGTTAACATTTCTTATTTCTTGATCTTTTAGATTTTATATGAAGTTTCACTAATTCACCTGAAAGATCTTTTAAATACATTAGTTGATTACTGCATTGTAGTCTAAATTTCCCCCACCACCACCCTGTAATGCACTGAGTAATCAAGAGTTTTGATTTAATAGCCCAGGGACTCCTCTCATTTGTGAAAAAGTTACTTGGAAGGGGTAAAGGGAATCGTTCACAGTGACTGAGAAAATGCACAGGTTGTCCCTTCAGCTACCTAGCTGCGTCTCAGATCAGTGATGCACTGAGAAGGGGTGTGGTGGGGGAAATTCCTTCAAGTGTCTCCCAGCCTCCTCCGTATTGTCTACCAAAGACTGATTTCAACTTTGCACTCCTTAAGCCCCCCAGCACAACGTGGCCGGGGTTAGGGGTGGGGACGGGTATGAGAGCGGAGGAAGGAAGAGAGGAGAAAAGGTAACGCATAGCACAGGGCTGTCGCAGGCTTTTCTTTTTTTTCCCCATGAGCAAAGGAAGGGAGCGTTTGGTGGGGTTTGGGGTTTAGTTGTTTGTTTTGTTGGGGTTTTTTTGGCAGGCGAAGGAGTGTATTACTTTTTCTCTCTTTACAATTGCAGAGTGGTCTGACCATCCATCACCTAGTGAGCAAGGTATAATGGTCTGGATCAGGGAAGGAGATGTAGTCACACCTGCTGCACTTGCTTTGTGCTGATGCGGAGTCTCTTGTTCCTCATTATTCTCTAAAGGCTTGGCTTTGCAATTTTTCATAAAGATTGCTTTGGGACTTTTAGGAACAGCCCTGACTGTTCCTAATAGCAAGCCTAAATAAATCCTGCAGTTTAAAATCAGAGAGGCTGTCAAGGTAAGGTTGAAACTTTAGAAGTTAAAAACAAAATACTTTCTTTTTGAGTGTCCCAGGAAATCTGAACTTGTGAACAATTCTAATGTTCTCATAAGCAGCTTTTAATTACAAGTATGCTTGACATTGGTATCAACATACATACTTGCCAATGAATTCCTTAGCCTTACCTGGTTTTAAATGCATAAATAGAATATGTCCATCAAAAAACAGGTGAAACCCCTTTAGGAATGGTGCAGAATATACATGTAAAAGACAATACCTGGCAATTTGTTCAGTTTGTTCATAGAGTTGCCACATTTCTACCATTTTAATTTAAATACATTTTCTGTTTCTTCTGTTAAACACCCACACTCAAGTTGAATGGACAAAGTTTTTAAGACCATTGTCCATCACATGATATAGTTATTATGCAAATTTCAGTGTGAACAGTACTGATCTCTTTCAGTGGAGATCCCTACATGATTATAGGTTGTCTTCTGAAAACTTTTGGATAGGAAAATTTATATAGAAATTGCCATACAGCATAACAAAAACTGTAGGAATGAAAGAAAATTTCATGTCCTCCACTTCCACTTTCAGTATTACTTCTCTAATAGAGATAAATTATATTCTCCTCCAATCAAACTTTGGGTTTTATATTAAAGAAAACAATAGAACCATCAATCTATTTAATATAACAAAATAAGTTAAATAGTTACTCTTAAGAGATATTTGGCAGTTCTTTTTTAAATCACACGTGATGTTTGACATTTTTAATAGGAAGGAAGATATGACTGGGAAGTCAGTCTTTTATGTTCAGTGGTTAGAGTCACTGCTGGAATTACAGAAGAGTAACAAGATAATCCTGGGCTTGGAGGCAACTGTAAAGATGGATTTGGCAAAAATGGCTGATGAGACTGAGCCAGAACAGAAGGTAACAAAACAGGATTTAGCACAGTTGGATGAAGTGTAACAGCAGAAGTGGAGACGTTGGCACATATCCCATGAGAATAGCTGGATGTAGCCATATCTGGGTAATAGTGATGGGGCAAAAATAAGCCTGAGAAAAGAGCTTCTATCCTGGCATCTTGGGTCTGACGTTTAAACTTCATGCGACGATTCTGAAACCAGGTTTTTATCTGAGGACAAGAAAAAAGAGTCAATCCACTTGCCCCTTTTCCATATAGCAATACATCCTGAATGCAGATTTAGTATCGGAGTAGCAGAATACATTAACAGTTAAGGGCTAATAACATTGGTCTATATTCAGTGCAGAGTAATTGTCTTGACATGAGGAGAAACCAAGCTGTGAACACTCCATGATGCATGGCAAGCCAACTACCAAGGTTTGGACTGGGGCTGTAACTCAAGACTAGTGCAGTTGGACTAGAAGGGCTGAGCAGGGGTAGTTCTGTTCGAAAATCCTGCAGTGTATCTATCAAGTAGATACACGACTCTGAACGAGAAAGAATTAGCCTGCAAATTGAATTCTGGAGATTGTGCAAGTATTTTTACCACCCTCCCCCCACGAAAGTTTCACGGTTTTCCATTTGCACCTTGTCTCTGGTGGACACAGCAGTGCCAGCCTAGACAGGGGTGTCAGCCCCGTTTTCTGCGAGACTGACGGACGGCCCGTCCTGCCGCACCTGCAGGAGTTGTCACTGTCACTGCCCCCGTCCCAGCGGTGACCGTGAGATGCCAACAAACTCTACCCGTTTCCCCCCGTCGGGCGGAGGGCGAGGCGGTCCCGGGGGCCCTGGCCGCGCTCACCTGGCTCTGGGAGAGGTTCAGCGCGGCCGCCAGACGCCGTTTCTCGCCGGCGCCGATGTAGCGCTGCTCGCGGAAACTGCGCTCCAGCTCCTGCAGCTGCGCGGCCGAGAACTTGGTGCGGGCCCGCCCGGGTACGGCCCCGCCGGCCGCCTCCGCTTCGTGCCCGGGGCTGCTGCGCTCCGCGGCCTCCCGGTCCCAGGGCACCTCTTCGGGGACAGATCGGGAGGTCTGGGGGGGCGACCATTCCCTCCGCGGGCCCCGGGCCCCGCGGGCGGTGCCACGACCCGACGGCCCCGGTGACCGAGGGGCACAGCGGGACCCATCGAGCACCGCGGGGCTCTCCCCGGTGCAGCTGCGGCTGCTCCGGGCCAACCAGTCCACCGAGAAGGGCCCCTTCTCCATGTCCCCCCAGTGCTGCAGGCCCTCACTGGAGCCGCCCCGACCGTCAGGGCAAACATTTAAACCCCCGGCGCGGTTTGAAAAGGCCCAAAGCATCAAATGAGTCCGAGGACAAAGGACCTCATTGAGAGGCGCTTTAATCTCCCCTTTCAGGTGATTGTTACATCCGCCTAATCTCCGAGCGCAGTAGTCAGCAGAACCCAAGGCTGCCTGACCTGGCGCCAAGTTCACCGCGGAGTTGTCTCCTGACCACGTAGGTGCTGGAAATTGCATCACGGCTTGTGCTCGTCATGCTGCCCAAGCTGCCCTCGGCCCTCGAACCGCCCCGTGATTTTTAATCTTTATCTGCCGGTATGAAGGACAGGGATTCAGAAGGGACTGATAACAAAGAAGAACGGGGAAAAGCCTTCTTTATGAGCCTTACACCCAAATTTTGAACCCCTCTTGCTTGTTTGATGCAAGACTTGAAAGAATCCCCTTGCCTTTCTATCAACAAAAGGAGGTAGGGGCTCGAGGTAGGAACAAGTAAGTACTCCTCGACAGGTAGAAATCATGGAGAAACATTGATACTAGTATCTTGCCAATATGCCTGTGAGGAACACACTGCTCTTTATTAAGTCAGGGTGAGTAGATGATGTTTGAGCTCAGGTAGGGTTAAAATGTAGGGTTAAATATTTTGCTGCTGCCCATGAGGCAGAGTGTTGCAGTTAGGACTCTCATCCTCCTCTGAAGTGTGAGGTACACTTGTTTTCAGTTGACTTTAATATCACACTTTTAAGAAGTCTTCAGGGAGAGAAAGGTCGAAATTAAGGCACAGCGGCATGGCAATTTGTTAGGCCATTTGCAGAAAGTAAGGTAGAGTTTTGAATAATTTGAGTTCATTCTTATGAATTTAAGAATAAGATCAAGCAATGAGCAGTTACGTGTCAGGATATTGGACAGGACAAGAAACACTGAGAAAATGACTGGCTCTCTTGAATTCGTCTGTTCATGTCTTTAAACGTGATCTCCTTTCCCTGCACCAAGAAATGTGTGCATTTCAAAGTAAACAGTTCTGATGTTCTTATGAAGTAGATCAAAGAAGAGGAGTGTAAACTCTGTTCCGAGGCAGTCTGTTCAAGGATGATTCAGATAAGGGTGAGAAAAGAACCACTTATACAGTCTGAAGTGGGCCTGGAATGGCACAGTCCTTATCCTCTGCAAACATGGGCTAACACATTTACAGGTTGTTTCAGTAAACAGTCACTACTGCTTGAGTTTATACAGTGAGAGATAATGAACCAGCTTCCATGCAGAGCGGAACATGCTTGAGACAACATGCTAATTCTTAAACTTCAAAGAGATTCGTGTCATCTTTTACGAAGAGTGACATATTTGAATTGAGATGGCAGAAGTAAGATAATGCTACATTTCCAGATCTCTTTCTTCTTAGATTTTCTATATTTTCTCAGGTAGGAATATTATTTTCTCCTATAAAATGCAATGGAATTTACATGCTCTTTTGTTAACTATGCTGAAGCATGACATATGTAAGAATTTTCTAGACTGATTTTGAATATTCTTAATACATACATTTGGTGTTGCAAAGACTTTTGTTCTCCTCGTAATAAAGAAGAAAAAAATTCTCTTGAATATCCACCTGAGCAGTCTGATTTTTTTTGTTAGGGGTTTTTTGTTTGCTTGGGGTTTTTTGTTTGCTCGGAGTTTTTTGTTTTGTTTTGCTTTTAATAAGCATGACACTTCTAGTAAGTCACTACATATGCTTTGAGGTAAAGTAATGACCTCGCAGAGATGACGCTTATGTTTTACAGAAAACCTTTTCTGACTAAGCTAAGAGGGACGGCAGTTGCATTGCCTTCTTGCGCTTCTGATTCAACCCACAGCAATTTGCAGCTCTTAAAGATAATTAAAATGCAAGGTAGACGTTACCACCTTTCTTTTTAGTAGAAACCAAACCGAGCCCAGTATCCCTAAAAAAAAAAAAAAAGGAAAAAAAAGAAAAAAAAAGACTACAGAGAAATCTACAGAATAAATAAATGAAACAAAACAAAGCAAACCACAAAAAATCCAGGAAGGACACTGTTTCTAAATGGTCTGTTTTGACGTTAATCAAGGAATATGGTGTTGAACCCTTAGTTCCCATAACGTTATGGCAAAAATTACTGGGAAGTAATTCAGTGTTCAGGACAATTTTTCTGAAATGGACCGTTACGAAAACCAGACCATTATTTTTTAGTTAGCTTGTTTCCTAATCCTGAAAACCTGCAAGTTAATTCTGGAGAAAGTAAAGCTTGGTCTGGAAAAATGATAAAATCATAGATAATTTCTGAAGTGAATAATCATAATTTATTTGATGTTACAAGTAACATCTAATCAAAAGGATTAGCAAGAAATCACTGGTTTGTTATATTAATGTTTCTAGTTATTAATTAGCATTGTGCTTATTTTAATAGAGGAACAAATATCTTTAAACAACAAAATTATTGCCACTATGGCATTTTTTAAATTTGTATTTTAGTGATAATGAAACCAGTGGGTTTGTGGGTACTTTGGTTTTTTCCTTTTAGTTCTGTGATCATTGATCAGTCTGACTAGATTGCAATAATCGATTTACCAAGTTTCAAGAGAAAAGCCTTAATTTCAAAAGACACAGGATGCTAACACAATTTTTTTTTTTTTTGAAAGCAATCTTTCAGACTCATGGAACTGAATCACCTGATTTGATTAAAGAGAAATTTTCTAGAATTTCTGTTTACATCCTCTGAAGTAGCTTAGTTTTGTAACTGTACTTAAGAGACCAAGAGTAAGGATTTCCACATTGCTCAGCTCTTTTTGAAAATCAAGTGGTTTTTTTGAAGGGGTGGTGTTGGTAAATCTCCTTGGCTTTATGTGCTGGTGATGAAAACTTTCATAGATTTGTGTCAGAATTGCGTTGAGAATTATTGTGCTGAGGATGTTTTTACATTTAATACAATCACTTTGAAAACAATGCTAGTAGCTTTAATTTATAATAGTAAACAGCACAGACATACCATTAAGAACTTCTGCTGCTTCTTGGGTGAAATAAAATGTATTGGAAATGACATTTTTGTCTTGACATAGCTGTTAGCAGAAAACCATATGCAGACAAAGTGAACGTGACTGATGGATGCTTATGTTTTAGACACTCGACTTTTTATTGTAAACAGGAGTAGATGACATAGTGACTAAACTTTCCTGTGTTGGCATGTGACTACACTAAAAAGGTGTATACTGTTCTCCTACGTAAGAAACTCAATATGTGTTTATTTTTATTAAAGGATGTTGGTAGTATTTAATGTGATTTTTTTTCCTGCAAGATCTTTCTATGTTCCCTTCTGTTGATATTTAAACTTTAGTGACTTAGGTTTTTGTGGTGTATGATTTATTTATTTAATGTATTCTGGGGAAGCATCATCCTAATTAATAACAAACTTTATTTTTGTCAAACCATTCGACAAATTTTGTCCATTTGTCGAACCATTTTGTGAAATCTGCCAAGCTAGAGCAAAACTTAACAGGGAGCTCAACAAAAATAGAAGAGGGAATATCAGTGGCTATGAAGGTGATAAACACTAGAAAAAGTATACTTGAAGTGAATTATTTTTAAAATGCTAGTGTTCATACCCTTAAGTGTTATTACGATGATTAAACACACAGAACATGGCCTGAGGCAAAGCTCCCATTCAAAAGACTTTGATCGAGTGATTGTAACAGCATAAGTGACCATCACATGAGAGCAATTACAGTTTAAAAGGTAATTACCCAGTGTTTCTAGTTAGCAATTAACATTCGGTGCGTCCGGTGATGAAACATTTATCCCATTTTCCATTGATTATTGTCAGTTTTTATGAACACATGGACTACAAACCTCATAATGACCAAAATTTTGAATGTCAATAGTAAGCTAGATAAGTGTAGTGGAGGTGTAACTGACTCACATTTTACTGCTGCTATTTAATTACAGCCTTTCTTGACAGAGCCCTCAGTGAAAATGTTTGGTGTCACTTATAGTTGTGCTTTGTTGTCTCTTTAATACCAGCTAAGGAGTCTTTCTGCTGTGCCTTTTGCAATCGGACATCTCTATCTCGTATTGGCCTCATTAGCCACCAGCGTGCTTGTAACAAATGTGGATGGAGTCTTTCCCATATCTTCCTTTGCGAAGCCCAGCCATGAAGAAAAAAAGTCTCTTGTTGAAATAACTCTATGAAGCGTCTCATAGTTGTTAATATTTGTAGTCATTCCATCAGTTGTGAAGATAATTTCCTGCAAAGCAGCAATTATTCTTCTGGTGTTGGTTTGATTATGGAAGATATTAATGTGTGGAAACTGTACTAGGATTTGTCAGTATGCTAGTAATCAAAAAACACTAGAGACAGGTTAATTCAGTAATTTTAACAAATATTAAGGACATTCATCAGACAAAAATGTTATGTACTACACTAATTTCTACTTATACAAAGGAGACACATTTAGATATAAATGAAACGTTGAGTAGAGCTGTCAGCTCAGCTGGTGGAAGGAACTGATTCACTCCTCTTCCCTCCCTCTTTCTGGGCAATGCTTTTCCCTTGTTCACAGTTTAGGTAACCCCCTGATCTATCAGGGAGTCCATTTAGGTTTCCAAGCTAGCAGGAAACAGGGAAAAAAAAAAGAAAAGGAAAAGAAAAGCAAATGGCTTTTTTAACAACTAAGAGATAAACCCACTCACTGAAAAGTTAGATGAGGTCTCTAACTTCCACAGGGCAACGTTTGAAGCATGGAAGGAAAGAGGAAGAAACGGGATGATTCCTTTTAGTAGTATGAAGGAATCCTTTAGATTAATTTATATAAGTGTCTTTGTAGTCAGTGTAATTGCTCACTCTTTCCAGATAGAGAGACTAAGGTATCACGGATTATGCAGAGTTGGAAGGGACCCTCAAGGATTATGGATTCCAACTCCTGACCCTGCACAGGACCATCCTTGAGAGTCACAACATGTGCCCAAGAGCATTGTCCAAACATGTCTCGAACCCTGCCAGGCTTGGTGCTGTGACCACTTCCCGGGGGAGACTGTTCTAGTGGCCAATCACCCTCTGGGTAAAGATTCTTTCTCTAATATCCAACATAAATCTCCCCTGACACAACTTCAGGCCATTCCCTTGGGTCCTGTTACTGGTCACCACAGTGCCCTCTTCTCTGGGTGTCTGACCCTGCCCTCTGCCCCTGCGTTTCTATCCCCTCACGTCGCTCTTTCTGTGCCGGTGACTCCACCTGGTGGCGCGGGACTGTACTGGGGGAGGCTCGGTTTGAATTAAAATTCAAATGCTACTTAATTTAGTTTAGTTTAGTTTAATTTAGTTTAACCCTCTTGACACATTATAAGACACAATTTAAAAGCAAGGCAAATATATTTGGTTTTAAAAATTTGACCCATCTCGTGGGAAATCTGTCCCTCACAGAAGAAATAAGTTGTTTAACCTTTCTTCATTGCAATATTTCTTCTTTTCTCTTTCTGCTTTCCCTTTTTCACTTGATCTACAGCTTCTTATGTCTATAGCTGTGAGGCTTTGATCTTGTAGAAGGGAGAAGGACTATGGGGGAGAAAGAAGCAGTAATTTATTGGGCTGAGAAGATTAAATTCAGACCACATTGTAATGCATGTTTTATGAATTAGATTTGAGACTTTATGAATAATGCCAATATTTGACTTTCAAGCTCCTAGTAGCTTGCTTAATAGTTACAAAGATAACTTTTCAAAATAAATAAACCCACAGTGTGGATGTGTATCAAAGCTGACTATCAAAAATGGTAAAAGATGCATTTTGCTGACAGAACTAAGCATTGTAACCCCAAGTTCTGAAGGGTGTTGTGTTGTTGAAACAGAGAGCTTGCAGAAACAGAGGAGCACAGAAATAAGACCTTAAAGGCTCAAAATTCTTCCATACAGCAATAGCTCTTGTCTGCCCATATGCTCCATAAACATCCAGTCTTTTCTTTCCTTCATCTCTGCTTTCGTAAACCCAGCCTGCTTGCATTTGCCACGCCGTATCTGCTGTCTGTCTCTCCATCTCCCGTCCCTGTGCCGGGCCGTGTCAGCAGGGGGAGCGCCGAGGGCTCGGGAGCGGCCCCGGGAGCGGCGCTGCCCAGCCCGGCTGAAGCGAGCTGAGGGCAAAGCCTCGGAGAATGCTGAATCCCAAAGGGTCCTCTCTGGGCGCTCTGTGAAATCTAATGGGGTTCAGCTGGCTTGTTGAGGGGCAGAAGGGCAGTAAATCTAGGACTTGTTAAAAGTTGGAACAATTTTCATGAGGAAAATAATAAGATACACATCTTCTATGCTGTGTGTCTAGCCTAAGTATTGAAAGATTGGACAATTAGAGTTCATTAATTAACTTACTTCATAATTTGTTTGCTATAGTAAGAAACTCCCATGTTAATCCCAGGCTGAGCTATTTGAGGTCAGGTATTGAGTCAGGCTTTTCTTTATATTTTCCTTTCCTCCTCTATGCACATGTCCATGGTGCATAAATTATCATTAAACTGCAGTTCTGCAGTGAAAAAGACCCCCACAAAGTTATCAAAGAGAAATTTATGAAGTTGTTTTGATGCGTTGGTTTATTTTTTTCTCATTGGTTGTTGCTTGTTTGGTTTTTTCTAACCCAAACCCAAGAATTTTCCTGGTTCTGGATGTCTGGTGAGAATTAGCTGAGGGTCAGAAAATTAGCCTGAATTGGTCCAAGGTAATCAAAAGGAGAAAGGTATGAAGGACTGTTCCTTTTCAGTGTCAGTGAGCTATTTAATCTGCTCAGTTTTTCATATAGAATTGCACCTCTCCTGTTCACAGAGAATAATGAAACATATCTATTGGCATCTTAAAAAAAAAAAGCGTAAAGTAGATGCTGGAATAGTATTTGAAGATTTAGCATTAGTTTCAGTAATGAATGTAAGTTTTGTAGTATAGTATGTTGCTGCTGTGTGGTTTTTGTAGCAAAAAACTGTATTTGGATGTACAGATCATGATTCCTTACTGTTTTTCCACTGTCACTTATGCCACTGCTGACAGGTGGTGTTTAGAAATGAAATAAATTTACAAGTGTCTGCGAATCTTTGAAATAGGTGGAGATGAAGGTTTTTCTCTAGGTCAAATCTGTCATGGGTATTTTGTATATTAGAGAAAGTGAGTACAGAGGAAGTGTAAAAACTCTTTCTTCAAACTGTAGTTTCAAAGATGTACGTAATTGTCCTTCCAGCTTAAGCAACTTCTGTGTCTCTTTTTTCATTACACTGATGCAGCTGGTTTTGCAGGTACAAAAGGAATCAGATCAGAGAAATAGTTCTACTGGGAGGGGGGAAGCAGAACTTTGTGTCTGATACTTTTTTTTTTCCTGGGCATGTTGATTCTCTGATCTTGTTTAGAGCTCAAACACAGTGAAGCAAAAGTAGGAATAGGGAGTCATGGGAACTGCAGGATACTGTTCACTTAATGCACAATGTCACCAAATATGAAGGCATGATTTCTGAAAAAAGCCATTATACCCTGTGTCTTGTAAGACTTGCAGTGATAATGAAAATATTTGCAATGAAGTTAATTTAGTCTGTCTTCTGAAAGGGCTTTTGCTGCATTGTTTTTTATATATTAAAATGCTTCATATGTAGTTGAAACTTTTAGTGTTTATCTGTATCTTACAATATGTAAACTACAGAAGAGACAATTAAGAAAATATTTTTTCTGAATGGCAAACTATACTAACAGCTGAAAGCTAGCTTTTCTCTACCAGCTCAAAACTTGACAGGATTAGTTGGGAGTTCTAACTCTGTGAGGTCCCAGAGACTTGTTTTGAAGTGGTGTTATCAGCACTACTGAATTTTTCTTGCAGCAATTCTTCTTCAAAAAACAGTTTCTGCCTCTCATTGATTTGTCTGAACTATTTGTGCTCCTTAGAGAAATATTCCTCAGCTGTAAGTGAGTTTACATAATAGCTCACAGTGCTGATGCACTTAACCTTTTCAGCTTCTGGGTGCGCACTCACGTTCCTTCACTTTAGCTAGGACTGACACTTTTTGGATTCCTTTAGCAGGGGAGGTCTTACTTACCTGTAACCCACCATCTTAACAGAAAATTGTGGGTTTGTTTTATATGTATGTATCTATTTTTAACTGCTGCATTACTAAGTTAAAGGCATTTACGGAAGGGTTTGAAAACTGCCACTGGCAGTGCAAATTCAGGAAGAGACTATCAGGGCAGGAAGAGCTGCTTTCAAGTTGTAAGTGATAACACAGTGTAACACCATAACAAAAAGGAAATTTTAGTTGACCAGAAATCTTTAAAAGTGTAGGCCTTATAATTTAGATTAACATAAATACTTTCCTGCTTCTTCTGGTGATGTGTCTTTTTTTGGGAGGCTGTGGATTAATTTCATAATATTCACTGCATTAATATGCAATACATATTTTTTTTTCAGTATAGGTTTCTTTAAGCATATGTATTCATTCTTGGAATGCCTTAGAGCATTACAAAAACCAACCAAAATCCCATCAGAAATATTAAGGAATTACCTGAAATATTTTTTTCATGTGTGTTTAAGAGATGTTCCTAGAGATAACATGCTACATTTAATAACTCTAGGAACTGCAACATAATGTTATATAAAGAATACAGATTTAGTACTGATGAAATAGTTTGGGGAATATTTTAAGGCTGTTCTGCGTCATGAAATATGGATTTTTCAATTTGCAAAATTATTCTAAGAAGCTTGGAATGAAAAAATTATTCTGGATTCTTGCTTTAATACTGCTGTGTTTGATATGATTGATCTTTGACCTGATATTTTTATTGATACCACTGCAAGCTCAAAAGAGCTTTTTTTTTTTCCCCTTTTTGGTAATAACCAATATGACATTATTATTCCTATTAGCTTTTAATTTAAATTGCGTACTTTGTGTCTTAAGGGAAAAAAAAGCATCAGTTGTAGTGGTGTTGCATTGGGATCTGGGATTTGTGTTAGGCTAAGTTACACAAGGGATGTATTTGAGGTAAAACACATTTTTTTGATACAATTGCTTTTTTTTGTAATTTTACATTAATGTAAGATTTTGTGAAATATGAGAAACTATAAGTTATATGGGGGTGTTGTCTCTTGTTTATTTATATTTTTGTTTGTTTTGTGTGTGTTTTTTTCCACCTTTATGTGCAATAATTCTGGAGGTTCTTATTGATTTTAATGACTGTTATTAGATTTAATATCTTTATATATATATATATATATATAAATCCCTTCTCTCAGAAGCTTCCCTTTACCACAAGCTTTGATATGACATCAGTGAGTAAAGATATGGTTGTGAATGTCATTTTAATTGCCTTTTAATTTAAGAAAAAAGTGACATGTAAGTAAGATAGTCCTCTAACACTAGTATGTTAGAGATAAATGAAAAGTAACTTTAAAAATGTTTATTTAATATTGAATAATGTAGCATAATGATAACCACTGGGTAAAGTGATTTGTAATGCACCTTGTTTTGCTTTTTTCTAAGCCCACAGCTTTACAAGACTTGTTGGAAACTGTGATGTAGTGTAACACAAACTTTTGACCAGTGACTGAAACATAAGATTTTTATTTGACATATGTTATGTACTGTTCCATTATTTCATAATAGCAGTATTCCCCTCCAATTGACATGATATATTGTTATTTAGAGTAAATAAAGGTAATTGGACAGAAACATAAAAATTGTGTTTAATGACTGTTTTTCTACTGAATGAAAAAAGCCAAGAGAGCTTCTATACTTCCGGTTCCAAGGTACCTGTGGGTGAAAGAAAAAAAACAGGATGTTTATTATTTGATTTACTATTAACTGTCTGTGTTTTAGAAGAATTTGTAATTTCAAACGTGCATGTAAAAAGTACTTACAATCTTAGAGGTTCAAGTCCTAAGAATAAAGGGTACATTGTAGACAGCCCCCTTGGGTAGGTAGTGTTTGCATGACTGGGCTTTACATACCTGAGTCAGCACTAACTGGATTCAGTGAAGAATGATTCCCAGCACCTGTGAGACAGGGAGAAGAGTTGCATTTTTTGCAGTTTGTGAGACTTCATTTCCATTATTTTCAGTTGGAGGTTTATGGGAATAAGGACTACAGGAGTAACTTAGCAATGCGTATGTTTTAGACAGAACATTAAATCAAGAGAGATTATATATATATATACAATGTAGTTGGATAAATGCTTAAATATTACTCTTGTAATAAATCAGGTTTTAAGATGAAACCAACAGAGTAAATAATACCAGTATCTTTTTATACAGGTTTTGATAGTTAATTGGGAGTTTAACAAATTTACCTGTAATTTCTTCATACATCTGTTTTCGCTATTTTCTACAGCTGTTTGAAATGAATGGTGAAGTACCTCAATTGCCCCATTTTCCCATGCCCTATACCTCTTTAGAAGCAATTCTCAAAGAAGTATATGCATAGGAAAAAGGAACAACGAGCCAGATCAAGATGAACTCCACTTGTGGCAAGAGTAAACCTGGAATATAAATGTAGATATTAGGGAAAATAAAAATTAGTTATATTCTTTACACAGTACAATTCCTTTTGAACTGTAAGGCTGTTAAAAACCTGTGCAGGTTAGAACAGAGGTTAAAGTATGAGACAGCCAACATTGTTACCTAGGATTCAGCAGAGACGTAACAATACTTAGTATGTTAAAAATTCATCAGTTCATATTTTGAAATACATACAAGAAAGTGTAGAGTTCTTAGAAAAAATGAAGAGCAGCTCTGTAGAATTGACCTGAAAATTATTATAAGTTAGTAACTATATCCTCTTTTCAGTATATTGCACTATTGCACAGTATTTGAAGCTTTTATATTTAAGACCTGAGAAAATAATTATTTGAATTACTGAACAAATGCATGAGAGAGAGAAAAAATAGTTTATAAATTACAAAATATGGTAAAATCATCTCTACAAGCAGCAGCAAGACTTACCTGGTTCGCTGTCTTGATGCTTGAAGTGCAATAACTTCGTTTTCAAGAGAATTTATGCGCACTCAGGACCTTGAAGAAATATGAACTATACAGTTACTGTTTTCTTAAGTGATAATCAGTTTGCCCCTTGCCAAGGTATTTGGTGCACCTGCAGATTGGGTACACAAAAAGTGCTGCTGAAAACATAGAAAGTATCATTCATATGTTGGGGGAGGTAGAAATGGGAGTGCAATAGACAACGGAACTGATAGGAATAATTAAAGTGGTGTCTTGAAATGTGCGCTGAGAACGAGAATTTATCGTCTGTGTTTTCTTTCACGTGCGTCAATGGAGTTTGGAAAATGTAAATCTGTGAGAGGACTTTTTGTTCTCAAAGCATGTGCTGTGTTTTCAGTCTAACCCACCCCCCTTTTTCCCTAGCACACTATTTTGAGAATCTCTATCAATGTCCTTCACTTGCAAATATGACTTTACTAGGGAGATAGCAAGGTCTGTGTACAAGGCTTTCCACTGCTTATCCAGGCCCCAGTGAGGCTCCGTGCTGGATGCCAAGGCTGGGAAACATCTTTCACCATATTTAATCCTGTTTGCTAACAAATTCTTTAACCATTTGCTTTCAATTTACTGTCTTTTTTTTAGGACCTGTACTACACTATTAAACTGCATTTCCTATGTAAAGATATTATATATAAATATATATAATATTCTAATATTTATATATTAGAAGTCTGAAGTGACCAGCCAAAATTGTTTGGAATTGATTCAAATTAATTCAGAGAATTACAGTGTCACAAGCAGTCACAATACCAATTTTTACATGCTGTTGTGTGTTTATTCGTAAGTTTGGACACTCCTGAAATTCATTATGTGCTCTTTCAGTATCAGAAGATTTGTGGGTTTCCTTAATTCCCTAATTTTCATTTTGTAACCTCAGGTTTAGTTTGTTCCTTTCTGCCATAAGAAACTGTCATTGCGTTCTGATTTGTACACATTGCCTTGAATACAAAAAATATTTTTGTTTTTCAGTTTAGTATGAATCTTTCCTTAGACTTTTACAAAATATACAATTGATTCTCTCAGTTTTTCTTCAGAGAGGTTCTGTGCTTCTGGCCTGAAGCCATCCTAGTTGTGACCTGAAGCAAGTACCTTATGTTTTGTGATTTATTATATGCAATACTTACTTCAACTCTGCCAGGCTTTCTGCCTTCAGTCAGACAGTTATATCACCTGGAAAGAAGAAAACTAGACCACACATCCCGGAAAGTGTTCAGAGCTCTGAACACTTTCTGTGAACACTTTTCAACAGCTTTTCATACAACAGGTGTGCTGGAGGAATTGTCAGTTTTGGTTTTGCTATGTGGTGTTCTGATAGAGAGAGAGAGAGGAAAAGGTTTGGGTTTTGGTTTTTTTTTCTTTGGAAATTGAACAGTAAATTGCTGGATTAGCAGCTGGAACACAGATACCATTAATGCTCTAACCCTGAGTTCTAGATAGGCCATCTAATGCCATCAGATGGTGTGTGAAGCTTTGGTTAAGGCCTATATCCACAAAAGACCATAATGAAATCTGGTGTGGGGTCTGAGGCTTCTGATAAGGGTTCTCACTGAGACTAATAAGACTGCTTATTTGTGTGTGAAGTAGTAGTCCCTTGATTTTTGTTGTTTGTATTTGGTATTACGTATTTGTGGATGGGGAAAATACCTGGTACACCTGATTTGTAATGTATCAGTCTCTCTTAAGAACACAGCTAAAGCTGGTTTTGATCTGGATTGCAGAATTAAAACTTTAATAAACTCTGTTTTATTCAGAAGTATGAATAGAACAGGCGACTTTGAAATTAAAAAAAAATTCTGAATGAACACACTTGTTAGTCTTTTGCCTTTGATGCTGAATACAAAGTGGTGATCTAAACCCTTTTAACTTCGAGGTATGTTTTCTGAAATGTACTCTATTCAGGTATTCCTCTGAAAGCCACATGAATTTGGTAGCTAGTGTAAAAGAAATAGCCTAAAATTTTAATGCATACAAAGATTGATGTCTCCAATATTTTATGTGCTATATGTGTAATTTGGTATAACAAATATTTAACAACCACTTCCTATATAAAGATCCATGCAAACTTCATTTCATGTATATATACAGACCTGTGGATTGTGGCTGTTAACTATTACTAAAAAAAAAAAAAAAAAAAAAAGGAAACATTCAAATGAATTATGGAACACCGATGTATCTTAGAGCTTATTTACTGTTTCAGCACCCTCTGAGCAGTTAGAGTCAGTGGGAATAGAAATCCCAATTATATTGTAATGCATTTTCAAAAGGACAGATTATAGTGCTTGTGAAGCTCTGGAACATGTTTTTCATCAGATTACACCAGATCTCTCCCTTAGCTTGTGTGTTAAACCAAGTGAAAGTCTTAAGCAGTTTTATTTATGGGCAGCTCTGTGTGTGTGTGTATGTGTGTTTTTGCAGGGGTTTGTTTAAGGCCTTGAGCTGGTTTTTGCTTTGTGATTTTTTACTTTTTTTATTACGACACCAACGGCCTTGTGTAGATTTTTCATTTTTCAGTATTTCTGGCTTTGTGAGAAATTTAGAATAGAATATTATATTTCAGGTGGATGGGATCTAAAGTGATCATCTAGTCCTATTGCCTGGCCAATTCATGTGTGACCAAGTTAAACCATGTAATTTGTGACAGTGGTTGAAGTGTATTGGAAAAAGCCTCGCTTAAAACACCACATGAATGTTTCCCACAAGAATAAAGAAAGTCCAGATTTGGGGAGGGGGGTTTGGTTACAAACTTTAATTGGATACTGATGGATATATTTCTTTTTCAATCAAAAGTTTTTTGCTGATCATGACTGATTTTAAGCTTTAAGTTGCTGCTTAGAGCTGCCTAAAATAAGGAAGCACTTTATTATTATGACAGATCATAACTTCTAATGTGAATATTTGGAGGTACATACTTTGTTAAAGCTGAGGGCTGGCACTAATTGCCACATAAACTATCAGTGAAACGTGCAAGTGAGGGCTGAAGAAAATGATGTAATTTTCCTTCATGCTGATTTTTTAGTAAAATGGTAGGATACCTGCTTTTTCACTGAGTAACTAATAGGATAGGAAGAGTTCTATATTCCAGGACAGTGGAATACAGATTCCTGGCTCATGCGTTCTATGTATGTGATTTCTGTCCTGTCAATATTCGGCTCAAATATTTAAACAGTGACCAGGAAGGATTAAACAACGTTTCTTAAAAAAAAGAGAATATCAACACAGACTCACAACCCTCCCACTATCTTAGGGCTTTTGGTATTTTTAATTTACTGATCATTGACTTTTGAAGAGAGAGAGTTTGGCATTTTTAAATTGATATTTAAAATCTAATGGCCTAAGTAAAAAACACACTTAATTGTATGTACCTGCCAATCTTTGAGCACTTTGTTTAAACAGTCCTTTTCTACTGTTAAAAGCTATTCCAAATTGCTCATCTAAAACACTTGTAACCTATTACATGAATGATTGTTGCAGACTTGATGCAGCCAGAAGGAAAAGCTAACTGGGCTGTATCACAGAGAGGTGAGTGAAAGCTCCATATTTATCTACCATCAGGTGCATGATTTATAACGTTTGAATTGTAGCTTTGAAACAGAATAGGTTGGAATGCAATTCATTGGGTCTGTCTAGCAGCTTGGAAAAGTATGATTAGGCTGGAGGTACAGTTTTCAGAAACTGAAGATGTAGTAGCAGTTTGAGAGGTTTGCTCAAGATACTATTTATGATGAAAATAAGCTCAAATTTTTAGAAGAGCTTCTGTCAAAAAGCTTTGTATATGAAAGAGTCAAGACTTTTCTATTGAATTTCTCACACATCTTAAATGTAGAAATGGTATTTGTTAGGCCTTCTCACATAGCATCTGAATTAAAGCTAGAATGCTCATTCATAATTGCACATTCTGTATGATGACCAAAAGGAGGAAGATCAGAAATGGAAACCTGTTTTTATATGACTTATCCTATATATATTATAAATACAGACTGAAGATAAATGTTAACTGAAAAGGGATCTACCAGCTTACAGTGCTGGCTTTCAAAACTGTGCATACACACACGCACACTCTCATATATATGGTTTCTTCTTACCTCTATCTTAAGTTCCATAGTTTTTTTAAAGTTTATTTTCTTGGACCAGTGAACCTTCTCTAAGTAGCAACATGATGACAATCACAGGTGCAATTTCAGATGGTTGATTTGTAAGGATGTTTAGTATCCACAATGAATTTTACATTCTTGATGAGTGTATGGTTGGTGCATGTATGTTTTCATGTTTATATGTGCGAGTTCAGTAGGTATTTGTCTTGTTATACTTTATAGTGTTTAGCACAGTTAAATATACATTCTGAAGACAGCTTTAAAATAATTCTGAAGAACTGATGTTGCTATATTCTAAAAGTGGTTTCTTTGGTTGCAGTGGCCTGAGTTGGGCTTTTTCTTAGGACTAAGGCATAAGCACTTTGTGATGTAGACATGTTTTTTTGCTTTCCACACCTTCCGTGTACAATCAGTACCTGTATCAGATAGTCTCCTTTCATTCACTATTGAGAAGTTGATTTGTGCCTCTGATTAATCAAGGGTGACAATATTCATTGTTACTTTTTCAAACAAGAATCTTTGTCTTTCCAGTCTACAACATTGATTTGCTCATACATCTGCAAAGGTTTTTGATTTGCTTTCTAGAAGTCTTTTGTTAAAATTCACCTTTTACCGCAGTACCTACAAGAACTATCTTGATAGATAAGTTGCTGTGGGACTGATCATATTGCTCATCATGCTGAGTAAGTTGTCAGCACTAATTAATGAGGTTAATTGTCTCATTGTTTTAAGCTACTCTCTGTCTTCTGTTTTGTACTTCACTGCATGGAGCAAGAATTAATTTTTTTTTTTTCTGTGATGTGTTTAATAGAATCCATTCAGGGTCTCTCTCTTTAATGATGAATTCCTCTTAATGAAACTACAGCCCTGCATTGCCCTG